TACTCACAGAGAACCCATGATTTCTGGGGACTCAGGAGTGAAACACAGATCTGTGCCCTGGAGAAATGTGTAGTCAGTTGGGGGCTATGTGTAATAGAGTGTGATAAATACTTGAACAGAAATAAATACAGCAGACGCACAAAGGAGGGAGCAACCCAACCTTTCTGCCCCTCCCATTTCCTAGGCTCTTGAGACATTCAAACTTGATCTTCTGAGGTTGGTTAGGAGTAGGAGCTTGCCTGGTGGACAATGGGGCCGGAACTTTCTAAGAGGAGGGAGCTGCATGGGTGTGGCTGAAGCCACAAGTGGGTAAGGGTGAGTAGTGGGAGGTAAGTGTCCAGATTCTCCCAAAGGCCAGACTCTTGGTGGAGGGCTTGCCTCTGAGTCCAGGGTGCGTAAATCAGAACAATTCTGTGGCTGGGTTATGGCAGGAAGAGTAGTGATGTCTAGTAACCTGAAGTGGAGTCAGTGTTGACCTCCTAGGGGCCACAGAGAGGATGACAAGCTGCAGAATGGCAAGCTGCTGGAGCTATGCAAAGGTGGACACTGAGACAGGAGGGGCCCTAAAACAGACAGGATGGCTGGCATCAAGGGAGCGTGCACGGGCCCCGCTCAGCCCTCCAGCCCACTGCTCACCATTGGGCGACATTATATGAGCTACTCACTGGTCCCTTGACTTAATCATACTCACTTTCTCCTTGGTGCTGTCCCTTCTACCTGGAACTCTGCTCCCCTCCCCCCCCTCCTTCCCCTGGCTACTGCTTACTCACCCTTAGCCTCTGCTTAGGTAGGATTTTCCAGGCGGTCCTTCTGCCTGCATAGTTCGGGGCTGGGAGCCTGTCTTAGGTACTTCGGTGCACCCAGGACATGGCCCTCTGTATGACACTACTGCAACGCCTGTTTGCACAGTGCATCTTGTGCATGATGCATCTCTGGAGCTTTGCCCTAGGCTGAGGCTGGCTCACAGTAGAGGCTCAGAGTCTTTCCAGTTCAGGTGGTTCAGAATCGAAACCCTTGGACACCTGGCGTTCCCCAGAGCTTTTCTCACACGCTGCAGAGTCGGGGGTGGACTCCTAAAGAATCCGAGCTGGACTGAACAGTGGGGAGGGTGTGGTAGGCAGGAACCTGACTGTGAAGGGTCTGAGATCCACGGCTAAGTCGTCTGGTCCAAAAGGTCTTTTGCCGTGTCCGCTAACCAACCAAGCATCCTGAACAGACAGGCACCAGATTCTAACATGTGCCAGGCTTTATCCCCAGTTACCATGACAACCAGGCTTCACGGTGATGGATGGTATTGATTGACTGACAGACTCCTGGTGTCTTGGCTCTGTCCCTACCCCCCTTAACTCATTTGCATACACATGGATCATAGGCTCTCAGCACCATCCTCCTGATTCTGTCCTGAATTCTGTCTTTCCACCTCTATCACTGAAAACAGCCTCAGCCTGAAAGGAGAACAAGGTGTGATGATGTCAAAATTACTCCCAGGGCCACCTCTGACACCCTCTCCCACAACTGACACAATGTGGCAAGGAGAAAATGGGCTTTGGACATAGACCTCAGTTCAGTCCCAGATCTACTATTTCCTCATTCCATCATTTGGGGCAAATGACTTAAAACCATCTTGGCCTTGATTTGCTCATCTCTAAAATGGGAATAACTGTGCATGCTGTGGAGTCATATGTGACTATTAAATGCGATATGGATTTTAACACATGGAAATTCTTTGCCTAGCACAGAGGGTGGATGTCCCCTCAATCTTCCTCACTCACTCCCTCTGAGTCTTAGTACAGCTTATACTGTTGAGAAGTTAGTGAAGAAAAGTGGTGTTCTCAAGCCCCTCAGCTTCCCCCATTCTCTGATTTTCCAGTTCAGTATCAGGCACCTGATCTATGTATGTGGCAGCATTTCCAGCAGCAGTAATAGTAGTAATACTTGACCATTACCGCTAATTCCGAGCCAGGCACCATGGGAAGCACTGTACGTGGCATGGATTATTAACTCATTTAACCCTCTACACAACCCTATGAGGTAGACAGTGTTAAAATCCCCACCTTACAGATGGGAAGACCGTGGCACTGAGAGGCTCAGCCAGTAAGTGGGCATGGTCAAATGCCAGCTCTGGCTGTCTCCAACTCAGAGCCTGGCCCTCAGCTACACTGCCTCTTGTCAGGACCAGAATCATCTAGCGGGGCTGAGTCCCTGAAGACAGCCCTTATCCAGCAGGCAGAGACCTGAGCCTGCTGTCTCAACATGGCTCACTGGGAGCATAGGTTCTTCTTTCTGGGCTGCTTTGTAGAATGAGGCAGTCATGGAATGAGGGGCTTGGTCAGGCCACGCCTACTCATGCCACGTGACGACCTGCAGCGTAACACTGGTTTGATGAGATGGTGCGTGCACCGAGTTTGCACACAGCACACGTTGCATCACACCTGGATTCTCGGGCTTGTTAGTCATGGAACTTTGGGCAAGTTGCCTAACAATCGACAACTAACAAGATTTGCTAACAGTTAAGTGTACCAGACACTGTATTTAGAGATTCATGTATAGAAAGTATTTCCATCCCCATTTTCTGAGTTTTGTTTATTTGTTTGTTTTTCAGGAGGGGTAATTAGGTTGGTTTGTTTATTTAAGTGGAGGTACTGGGGATTGAACCCAGGACCTCGTGCATGCATGCACTCTACCATTGAGCTATAGCCTTCCCCATCCCCATTTTCAAATGGGGAAAATGAGGTATTAAGCAGTTCAGTAACTTACCCCAAACCACACTACTAGTGAAGGGTAGAACCCTGACACCAGAGTTCCCACTGTTAACCATGCCAGTTACTCCCTTTTCCAACCCCAGTGAGCCTGTGAAATGAGCAAATCCTCCTGGCCCCCTAAGATTGCTGTGAATGAGATAACGTAGAAGAGCGAGCTTCATAAAACAGCAAGTCAATCAGGCATGAGATATTACACAGATGTGACTGGTATTGTCAACCAAAAGATCTGTGACTCCCAACACGTTTTAGAGGTGTTGTCTAGATAGGCTGGAATCAGCCTGTCCCTGAGTACTTCTAGGGGCTTGTCACATGCCAGGCTCCATCCCAAGCCTTGTAAACCCAAGAGATGACTTTATAAGTTTGCAGGATAATTGAAACAGCAGCCCAAGAAATTGACAATTACCACAGTGTGCTAACTGCTCAGCTGGAGGGATGCAGAGGGACACCACGAGGGACACAGATACGGGGCCCCTGGGAGTGAGAGAATGCTTTCTAGAGTTGACTGGGAGAAATGCAGTGAAGGAGGTAGGGGACTTTCAGAGGGAATAGCACATGCAAAGGCACAGAGGTACTTGTACTATGATTCTCAGGTGACTGGGGGAGAAGCAGGCATTTTCATGGATTAACAGAAGCACAGAGCAGGGAAGTAAATTAGCCAACAGCTCTCAGCTCATATGGCCACAGACTAAACCATCATCTTTCCCAGTGTTAATGGCATGAAACAGACCATATGATTCTTCCTTTCCCTTCCGAGGCTGTCTCTGGGGGCAACCAACGTAGGAAAGCAACAGAGCACGGAGATCACAGCAACCTGAATGGCATTTGTTTGTTGCCGAGAGATAAATAATGCATTACACCTGCTGTTCTCCACCTGATGCTTTTAATCTGAGGAGCGACAGAGAATTGCAGATTCCGGCATCATGGAAGTAAAGCTGCCTGGTTCTGCCTCAGAGCTCCACTGATGCAGCATCTCGGTGCAGATGTGAGGACAGCTCTCACAGCTGCACAATGGTCAAGACCAGGTGGAAAACAAGCAGTAGACTTGGTGGTCAGAGACATGTCCCCTGGGCTCCCACCCTGCCAGACAGGCACAACAGCAGCTCCTCTTGGGACCAGACCAGAGTGGGAGGGAACCCAAGGGTCTCCCAGTCCTTCCTTGACTAACCTGCATCTCCTTTTCCACTCTTAAGTTCAGATCAGGTTGGCCTTTCTGAGCAGACTCTCGCTGCTAGGGACACAAGGACTCACACGATCTCCCTCTGCTCTCAACGTCCTCCTCGCTTTGTCTGGCTGATCCTTACTCATCCTTTCATACTTGGCTCCAGTTCCCTTCCACTGAGTCCTTAAGGAAGGCTGCCCTGGCCTTGCTGCCTGCTTTCAAAGTTCTCATCCTACAGTACCAGAATTGGCTGTTAATCCGCCCACACCTCCACACCTGACTATAAGCTCACCGGCAGCAAACACTCTCCCGAGTCCTCTTTATTCCCCAGATGCCTGGCACACAGTAAGACATCATAACGTACACATGTACTCAAGTTATCCCAAATGTTCCTCAGGTGTTCTGGTGTGTTCTTAAAGTTTCAGAATCTTGGCTTTCGAGGAGATCTTAAAAGACCACTCGTCCATTCTTCAAGCCCTTCTACTCACAGGCAAACAGCCAGCTTCTGCTTGGTGCTCTCCAGATTTGGGGAGCTCACTGCCTCCTGAAACCACCCATATCCCCTTGGCCTCGGATCACGGCAGCAATTTACTTTATGAGGCTAAGCCTGTCTCCCTGTAGCATCTGCCCCTTTGGTCCTAGTTCTTGTGATCGCACAAACAAGCCTAATCACTCTTTCTCAAGGCAACCCTCTGGGAAGCTGAAGCTAGTTCTGACCTCTCTTTCTCAGGCAAACATCCCCACCCCCACAACATTCCCCAAAGAAAACGGCTTTGAATTTCTTGACCCTCGTGCTTATTCTTCTCCAATCATTCCCTGTTTTTTCCCGTCCTTTTTTAGTTTTACTTTTATTGAGGTGAGAACACTTAACATTTGATCTAGTCTTTTAACAGATGCTTATGACCACACTGCAGAATTCTTCATTCTCAGGGCCATGCTGGGCAGCAGACCTCCGGAACTAAGGCATCCTGCGTAGCTGAGGCTTTATGCCCGTCACCAGCAAGCCCTCCTCCCCTCCCCCAATCCTCAGCAACACCCATTCTGTGCTCGGCCTTTACGGCTCTGATTACTTTACATACCTCATGTTAAGTGGAATCACGCAGTACTTGTCCTTCTGGGACCGGTTTATGTCACTTAGCATCAGGTCCTCCAGGTTCATCCATGTTGTTGCATATGGCAGGACTTCCTTCTTTTCAAAGGCTCAATAATGTCCAGTGAATGTCCCATTTTCTTATTTCATTTGAAAAGTGTGGCTCCCAGAACTTGGCCCCAGGCTCCGGGTTTCTCTAACCTGCATAGAGAGAGCGAGGTTATCCCCTTTTACTTTGCTGAGTATAATTTTCACCTGGCTTCATCGCCCTATCGAGCTGGAAGTTATCTAAGACTCTCGGGCCTTTTCTCTTGTTCTCCTGCTAAGCTGTGTCCATTCCTCACTGTGCTCATGCACTTGGCGTTTTGTCCCAGGACAGGATGTTACAACTGTCCCAAGTGAGCCTCATTTTGCTGGGCTTGGTCTGTGTACCCATCAGCCTTGGGAGGGCTGCTTGGATCCTCACTCTCTCCCTGGTTTCTTCCTCTGGGTAGATACAGTGAGCCTGGCTGCTCAGGCCACCTCCAGGGCATTGACTGAGACAGAGAGGAGGCCAGTGCTCCCTGACAGGCTATCAGCGGTTCTCTGGAGGACCATGGCACTCAGCATCTAATCCCCAGTGCACTGTGCAGGCTTCATCTGGAATACTTGTTTAAAATAGAGATGGCTGGTGACTCAGAAATACAGACTCAGAACTGACAGAGGTGGGGCCCAGGAACTTGTATTTTTCATAAGCACTCCAGATGATCTCAATACGTAGCCAGGTTAGGCAAACATCAACTCCAGTTTTCTAGGTTCAAAAGCCTAAAACAAAAGCCAGTTTGATCTGATCCAAAGCTGACATCTAAGGGGTCAGCCTGACGGGACGGGGTGAAGCCCGGGCAGAGCACCGCCTGGTCCTCTCGTCTGTCCCCCACGCCCCTCCCCTCCGGCCCCCACAAGTGCTGCACAATTGCTCCAGACCTTTTATCCGTTCCTCCCTGTCGGCCTAGCGAGGCTGAAGAGGGATCCGAGGAGGCGAGCTTCCCAACTGGAAAAATGCGCGAGGAGCCAACATAATGTGCTGAGGAACCGACGTGGAGCAAAACAGCGCTTCACTGCAGTACAAGCGGGTGGCACGCGCACTCAGGTGTCCGCACTTCTCTTTTCATTACGCCCGCGCATGCGTATTGTTCACAATGCTGACTCATGCTATTAGCGCATGCGTACATTTACTTCTTACCTCACACACATGCAAGTTATTTTGAACTTTGACCTGGGTCCCCCAACCTACTCGCTTAAGACTACCAGCACTCCCCTTACCCCCTCCGCCTCTCTTTGTGTCTGTCTCTCTGGTTCTGTGTCTCCGGCGCCATGTTTGACCTCCTCCGCCCCCACCCCAGCTTACTGGTCTTGGTTTCTCACGGCTGCTCTGCAGATGGCTCTGATCTGGAAGCCCCGATTGCTTCTGGGGAGAGACTCCTCCTCTAGCCCTGGTATATTGAAACGAGGAACTCTCGGGATCTAAATGAGTCGTCATTGAATATATTGCCCACACCTGCTAGCTTCTCAAGGCTAGGACCTTACTTACTCAGATTCGTATTATATTCATACTAGTTTTATTCCCACAGTGTCCACCTTGTTCAACACACAGTGTGCTGGGGACGGTGGGGTAGTAGGTGCTTACTAAATTTCTCAGCAGAATTTAGTCTGATGCCGTAACCGGAATGAGTGAAAGGACCACTAATTCTTCTAAGGCAGTCTTGAGTCTGAATCTCAGTTCCACTGTTTTTTTTAACTCCTTTTTAAAAAAATTTATTTTTTTTGTTATTGAAGTATGGTCCGTTTACAATGTTGTGTCAATTTCTGGTGTATAGCATTATGTTTCAGTTATACATATACATCTATATATCCCACTGTTCTTTTTAGCTGTGTGGCCTTTTAGGCAAGATAATTAGCCTTGATGAACTGAGGGCATCTTAACTAAACATGAGAAGTGTGGGGTAGGTGTCTAAGGGCACCTTTTGCCCTCGTGTTGTGTGGTTCTTAAGTCACAGACCTCCCCTTACTGGCCAGTACCCTACTCCAGAGTCCTCGGGAGGCAATTCTTTGCAGTCCAATCGTGCTGCTCAAATCAAGCTGGAGACCTGTCCTCCCAGTCGCGCGTGGCAGGCTGCCGGCAGACCCTTCACCAGCACAATCACTTCACAGGTATCCTCCAGACCCATTAATCAGCTCATCCTGTCACTCTAATTCTGCAGCACTCCACCACTCACCTAAGTAATCACTCTGGCGTCTGCCCATGAATTCCTTTCATCCACTTCTGTTTATCACTGTTGAAGCATTTTTTAATCAAAACAATTAAATATGCTAAATCTTCCTCAATTAGTAATGCATTAAAAATGAAAAGTACTTAAACAGAAATGGCAGAAGCAGCCCTGTGCTTGGTACTGAGTGCCGGTGCTTAAAGCATCACTTCCCCCAGGCCCTCTCAGCTCAGAGCTATCCAGGGACTGCTGTGCAAAGAGTCGCAGAGGCTGCGGGCCAAGAGGGGCCATGGGGAGCAGCAAGTCCGGCCCCTTCTCCCCACAGATGGGAAACTGAGGCCCCGTGAGATCATAGGCCTTTTCAAAGCTCATACACAGTGTCAGAGACTGGGATTTGTTTTGTTTTACTTCTAAAAAAATAATAAAATGTGCATATATTTAAAGTATACAACATGATGCTTTGATACATACATATACACACACAAAGTGAAATGATAATTATGGTCAAGGTAATGAGCTTATCTCCTCACACAGTTAGCTCTGTGTGTGTAATGAGAGCACCTGAAATCTACTCTCTGCAAATTTCTGGTATTCAACTGCAACTTAATTTTGGGTGGGGAATTAGATTTATTTACTTACTTACTTACTTACTTACTTACTTACTTAATGGAGGTACTGGGGACTGAACCCAGGACCTCGTGCATGCTAAGCACGAGCTCTACCACTGAGCTATACCTTCTCACCTGCAAATTTCCAGGATTCAATACAATATTATGAACTATAGTCACCAGGCTGTATGTTAGATCTCTACATTTACCCATCCTACCGAACTGCAACTTTGTGCCCTCTCGGCAGCATCTCCCCGTATCCCCCACCTCCCTGCCCTGGGAGCCACTGTCTTACTCTCTGCTTCTATACGTTAGACTATTTTAGAGCTCATATACAAAATCATGCAGCTTTTTTTTCTTTTTGTATATGGCTTGTTTCACTTAATGTCCTCTAGTTTCACTCATGTTGTCACCAGTGGCAGAATCTCTTTATGTTTTAAGGCTAAATAATTATATATATGGTATATATACAGTATATACATATATATACACATATTGTATCTATATATAGGTATATAGATAATAATTTCCTTATCCATTCATCAGAGTGACTGGGATTTGTATTCAGGATTCCTGACTTCTACGGTTCTTTCCATCAGGAGCCCTTACCCAAAGACTCTTGGCATTCATGTATTCACTCTTTTTTTTTTCATTCACTGATCATTTATTCTGAAAATCGTTACTGAACTCCTCCCCTATGGTAAGCATCGTGCCACTATGCTGACAAGAGGGTGGTGAATAAGATGCAAGTCCTTGACCTCAAAGAGTCTGCAGTTTAATGGGGATGCAGGCAAGTAAACTTGCTGCTTGGTACACCCTTGAAAATACTGAATCTAATCCTTAGCTCAACTGAATGACTACTTAAATTGTTTTTCTTCTGTGGTTGCCAGAATAATACACTGACTAGTAATAATTATTGTATAGTTGCAGTTAAACTTAATGATCTTTAGCAAATGCAAACTCCAATTCACAATCTTCAGAAGACTTTAGCTACAGAGGAAGTCAAATGCTGTAGCAATGGTCAATATTTTGCTCTGGTCCACTGTTCTAGACTTATCTTGCCAACTGACCAAGGGTTGGAAACCCAGCTCTCTTCACCTACAGGCTGTGGGATCAGGGCAAAATGATGTTACTGCTTTGAGAATTATGTTCCTCATCTGCAAAAGGCAGATTCCTCAGCGGCTCCTCATATGTCAGCAAATACAGAAACAGCTAATGTGGGACTCACAGTTCTTACGGGGTCAGAAGTCAAGCAGCCTCTCCATGGATCTCTCCATCTTCTTAGAGCACACTGGCCTCTCTGGGGTGCAAAGAGGACCTGCGAAATAGAATTGGGACAAAGATGATCTTTCAGGTCCAAACAAAGCACATTGGTAGCTCTGAAGACAGAGGGACATGTTCTGCTCCAGAAGTGCTTCCTGGAGTAAATATTTGAATTGGAGCTTGAGTAGCCTTTGGAAAGATGGTGAAGAGAGAGAGAGAAGGGGACAACGTGCAAACTGCCAAGTGAAGAATAGTGTCAAACATGGGCCAGGCCCTGTCAGGCACAGGGGTATGTGGAGGTGGATGAGATAGGATCACTGTCTCAGGGAGGCTCAGTGGAGAATGTGCAAAGGAGAGGGAACAAGCACTTTTGACCAACTAGTGTGTGCCATACTTATTCCTTCTCAGTTCAGGAATATTTGGTTTGGAACCATCCAGAAGACAACACTGAAATTGGGTTTAAAGAATTGGGATTTTTAACCCAGATCTCTTAGGCTGCACCATTGAAGGTAGCTTTTATTACTACTTTGAGCTAATGAGCTGTGAGCTCCTACCATGAGCTGGCTGGACCATATTAACTGTCTTTCAGTGTCTCAGCGTTCTGTGTTTCTCTGCTCCCTGCTGCAGATGTTACTAGCGAAGATATCACTGCATGCTTTGGACTCTCCGTTGGCCTCGACCATGAATACAAACAGATAACACAAATTGGAGGACGTTTATCAGGAGACCACTGTACAAAACATGGAGGTGGCAAAATTGGCAAGTATTTGGTAACAGGTCTCCCAAAAAGAGAAGCCCGAATTTCCCTTGGACACACAATCACAGCACGTACTCCCCCTCAACTGATTCCATCTCAGTTATCAGTCACACTGCATACCTGCTGAGCAAACCAAACCAATGACCTGCAGCGGCCCTGGTTTGAACTCCCCATGGGCTGAGGTCACCTTAGAAACACTGGATTTCGTATGGTGCATCCTCCTAGGTTATAAGCACTAGACAAAGATCCAAGTAGGAACTGGGATGAAAGGAGGTGCAGAGCCTGGAACGTTGACTGCTGACATGAAGGCCCATCAGGTACAGACAAGAGGGAGGAAATGAGTTTGCTGAGAGGGGAGGTGATTCCCAAGTCCATGATCGAAGAGTAATGATTAGAGAAGGATGGTACAAGAATATTTTGTGGCATTTCCTGAACAGGTCACTATGAGT